CACCCCTGTTACCCTCTCTCCTGTCCATCCCACCGTCCTGCACCCTGGGGTGGCACCACCCTGGCTCCCCACTCTCCTATACCCCAGGGTGGCATCACCTTGGTTCTCATCATCCTGCACCCCAGGGTGACATCACTCCTGCTCCTCACCGTCCTGTCCCCTGGGTGGCATCACCCTGGCTGCCCACCATCCTGTCCCCTGGGTGGCCACCATCCTGCACCCCAGGGTGACATCACACCAACTCCTTGCTGTCCTGTCCCCTGGGTGGCATCACCTTGGTTCTCACCATCCTGCACCCCAGGGTGGCATCACCCTGGCTCCCCACTGTCGTGCCCCCGGGGTGTCATCACCTTCGTCTCTCATCACCCTGCATCCCAGGGTGCCATCACCCCAGCTCCCTGCTGTCCTGGCCCCTGGGTGGCATCACCCTGGCTCCCCACTGTCCTGTCCCCTGGGTGGCATCACCTGGGTTCTCATCATCCTGCACCACAGGGTGACATCACACCATCTCCCTGCTGTCCTGTCCCCTGGGTGGCATCACCTTTGTTCCCACTGTCCTGCATCCCAGGGTGGCATCACCTTAGTTGTCATCATCCCACACCCCAGGCTGGCATCACCCCGGCTCCCCACTGTCCTGTCCCTTGGGTGGCATCACCTTGGTTCTCACCATCCTGCACCCCAGGGTGGCATCACCCCGGCTCCCCACTGTCCTGCATCCCTGGGGACATGGCCCTGCAGCACCTCGTTGTCCCAAAAAAACAATGGCTTGTCACCCGGGCTGCCCCATGCCTGAAGGTGCCAGCACCATGTCACCCCACTGTCCCCCTGCCCGTGGCACAGGGCACCTCCTCTCCCTACCATGCCAAGGCCTGCAAGGTCAACATCTCCCCAGGTCTCCTCATGGCACCCAGCCCCTCCACCCACCCCAGCACCCATGGTGGCTCAGCACAACGACCCCCCCCTGTGCCCCCCACTTGCTTTGGAGGGGACACAAGTGGGGACAACCCTTTGTCCCATCAGCCGTCCCGCGCGGGGGGGGGGCGTGGCACAGGGCACCTCCTCTCCCTACCATGCCAAGGCCTGCAAGGTCAACATCTCCCCAGGTCTCCTCATGGCACCCAGCCCCTCCACCCACCCCAGCACCCATGGTGGCTCAGCACAATGACCCCCCCCCGTGCCCCCCACTTGCTTTGGAGGGGACACAAGCGGGGACAACCCTCTGTCCCATCAGCCGTCCCGCGCGGGGGGGGGCTCTGGGGCGCTGACGCGGCGACCGCGGGCACCAGCAAAACTCAAACCCTCACTTAAACCTCGTCAGGCCTCATTAGAGGCTGGAGCTCAGCGCCAGCAGGCGTGGGCTGAGTGGCAGGGAGCCGTCTGTCCCCAAGGGTTGCGGCTTGTGGATTCTCTAGTGGCTAATAAAGGGTTCAGCTCACACTGCAATCTGCCGGCGCTCAATTACGTGGGCTTATTTTGCTGCTTTTTGCGAAAACACCAGGGACGTGGTAACGTTCAAGCCTTCTTTTTTCTTAAAGTGACCCTGAAACTGGTCTGCAGGTTCAAAATATTTAGCGGAACACAAAAGCCTCTCAGGGTGGACAGGCAGAGGGTTGTGTAAGCCTTGCTTTGAGAAGAAACCGGGCTTAAAACCAACCCCAGGAGCTCCTGCAGACATGGGGTGGTTGCCACACGGTCCCTCTGGCTGTGACAGGGACACCACACGTGAGCTAAAAAGCCTCATAAAATATTTATCCCTCTGCAGCAGCTTGGGGTGGCCCTGCTGCCCGAGTGTGCCACGCTTGGCATGTCACTGCCACCGTGCCCGGCGTGTCACCGCCACCGTGCCAGTGCTGGGGACACGGGACCTGGCAGAGCCAAGTGGGTCCCTCAGCATCGAGCAAAGCCTTGTCTGGGGACAGAGCCTTGTGTGGGGACAGGCCTGTGTCCCCACAACCACAGAGAAGAGGAAAAGTGACTTTAAAGGGAAGGGCCCGTGGCGAGAAGCTTTGCTGGACAGATGTTGCAGCCGTGGCTTTGTGCCGGGGAGGGCTTTTTGTTTGGGGTTTTTAACATTTGCCATTTTTCTCCGCCGCTTTCTTCTGCTCTGACACTCGCTGAGGGTTTTTTTTTTCTCTCTCTTTTCTTTTCTTTTCTTTCTCTCTCTCTCTCTTTCCACATTTGCTTTTTCAGCCCGGGGTTCAAACACTTTTTTTTTTTCACCGCGCATTATGCCGAAGTGGAAACCATCTGGTGCTTTGTTTTGTTGCGAGCCCGGCGAGTGCCAGGACCTTTATCCCCCACCCTCCATCCTCCTCCTCCTCCTCGCCGTGACACCGCCGGGGCCTCACTAATCCAACCCACAGCCCCCAAAAATCACCCCCCCCCCCCCCCCCCCCCCCTCCAGTGGGGCAGCAAGCCACCGGCGCGTGTTGGCAGGCGTGCAGCTGGGTGGTGGTGGTGGTCCCCGTGTCCCCAGCCGTGGGGGTGCACAGACCCCCCCCCGGGGCAGTGCCAGCGCCCTGCAAATTCCTGACTCATTTTTAGGACCGGCTGTTAGTAAAAACATCCTGATTTTATTTTTTTTTTCCCACCCCCCCCATTTTTTTTTCCGACTGGGAAGAAAACATGTTTCTAGGAGCCTCCCCAGAGACGGAGCCCACCAGCTTATTTTTGGAGACACCCCCCTTCCCCACCACCACCATCACTTCCACAAGCAGCTGCGTTTTAAGGATGGCGGTTGCGGCGAGCGCCGTCCGAGGGAGCTGGGCGGAAGGAAACCTTCCCCGTCACGTGTGACACACGCCACGAGAAGGCAAAATAAAACGAAAAAATAAATAAAAAAAGGGGGCAATGTGGGAAAATCCACCGCTTCTGGATGTGAGCTGCCTCCCACGGCCGGGATGGAGCCAACCCCACGGAGCCACCCGAAAAGGGGGTCGGTGGCCGTGGGCGCCTGCGCAGGAGGTGGGTGACCCCTCTGCCAGGTCGTGGGCACCCTGTCCCTGCGGCTGGGATGGAGCTGGCCCCACGGAGCCACCCGAAAAGGGGGGTCGGTGGCCGTGGGCGCCTGCGCAGGAGGTGGGTGACCCCTCTGCCAGGTCGTGGGCACCCTGTCCCTGCAGAACCCCCCTCCTGGCAGGGCTCTGGCCGCCCCGTCACGCTTTCCTTCCCATTTTCCCTGCACAATGGGGGGCTTTGTTGTGCTGGGGCGAGGGAAGGTCCAGCCGTGGCTGTGGGGGGAGCAGGGATGGGGCTGGGGGGGAGCTGAGGTCCTCTCTGCCTCCCAGGGGTCCCTTCCTGCTGCTGGGTGAGACACCCTTCTCCCCAGCCTCCCACCTGGGTGAGGAGGGGAAAGCAGGGCCGTAAACCAGCAAAATAATTAGCAAAAAAAGAAAAAAAAATCCACGAAACCATCAGGAAAAAACAAACAAAGGGGGGAATTTAGGAAAAGGCGCTGTAGGAGAAAGCGGCTGGAAAGCTCCCCGCCTCCCAGCCGGTGCGGGGAGAAGTTTGGAAGGAAATAAGCCCAAAGTTTGATTTTTTTTTTTATTTTTTTTTTTTTTTTGCATTAAACAATGGCGAGCAGTGCTGAGCCGGGGGGGTTGGGGGGGGTGTCGTGCCTCCTCGGTGGTGGCTCGTTGCTGCCATCGCACGTCCAGCCCCCGCTGTACAGGTCCCATTTCTGCCACCCCTGCACACCCCCGTCCTGCACAGCCCTCCAGGGACACGGGGTGGCTGTGCCTGTCCCCCATGCCCTCCGGGACTTTCTCCCCAGCCCAGGAGAACCTCCTCATTGCAAGAAGCACTTGGATCCTCATTGCCAAAGCGTTGTTGGCTGTAACTTCGTGATGATCCCCTCTGGCTCTTGCTGCCAAAAAAAGTCCCCATGGGCAGCGCTGGCCTCATCCTGCCCATCCCTTGCAATGGAACGGGTTGCCTAGAGAAGCTGTGGCTGCCCCATCCCTGGAGGGGTTCAAGGGCAGGTTGGAGGGGGCTTGGAGCAACCTGGTCTGGTGGGAGGTGTCCCTGCTCATGCTGAGATGATCTTTAAGGTCCCTCAAGGGGCTCCAGGAGAGATGGGGAGGGACTCTGGATCAGGGAGAGAAGCCATAGGATGAGGGGGAAGGGTTTGACACTGAAAAAGGGGAGATTGAGATGAGATGTGGGGAAGAAGTTCTTCGCTTTGAGGGTGGTGAGAGCCTGGCCCAGGTTGCCCAGAGAAGCTGTGGCTGCCCCATCCCTGGAGGGGTTCAAGGGCAGGTTGGAGGGGGCTTGGAGCAACCTGGTCTGGTGGGAGGTGTCCCTGCCCAGGGCAGGGGGGTTGGAAGGAGGGGGTCTTTAAGGTCCCTTCCAACCCAAACCATTCTATGATTCTATGATCCCTGCAGCCCTGAAGCCCTGGAGGTGATCTCTCCCACCATCTTCACGGCAAGGCATCGCTGTGGGCCCCAGCACCCACACTGGGAACAGGGAAAAATTGGGGGTGGTGGAATTTCCTTGGGTGTAAAACCAGCCGGACCTGCCGGTCGCTTCCGCTGCCCTCCTGCCCCCGTGGCACGGGAAAAGCAGTTTGGGGGTGGCTCGTGCCACCCGATTGCATCATCTGCTGACAAGGAACGCGCACCCTCCTGCCCACCACCCCGGTGGCCCCGGTTTGACCGGACCTGTTTGCCTTTGGATTTGCACCCGGGGCTGGGAGCGGAGTGAGTCCGCACAAACCACACCGGTCCCCACGGCCACGTGTGAGCACCTGGCCAAGCCACCAGGGTTTGGTGGCCAAACGCCCACCCGTGGGTGCTGGAGGGCCACGTGCCCAGCTCCTGTCCCATCTCAGCAGCTTGTCCCACCATCACGTCCCACCTCGGAGCAGGGAGGTGACACTTGGTGATCCTCTGCAGAAGGGGTTCGCTCCCACCTCACTGTTGGGTATGGGATGAAGGTGACCGGGTTGCAGACCCCTGTGGGCAGTGATGGTGACACAGGAGATGGCCTGGCCGCCTATGCCGGTGTCCGGGCAGCGCATCCTCCCAGATCCCCGGGGAATGCCCCCAAAACGGGGATATTCCTTTCCTGCTGGGAAGTTCCAGCCTCTCAAGTCCCGGCTGACTCAGCCTGGCAGAGCCACAGGTGGGGGTTGCAGCTGAGAAGGGCCCTCAGCAGGTCCCCACCCTCCCAGGTGAAGCCAATAGATGCCAGATTTGATGTTACAACTGGGGGGTTTTTAATTAATTTGAGGTTTTTTTGATTGATTTGGGGTTTATTAACCTGGACGCTCTCCCTGTGCCCTCCTGGCTGATTGTCCCACCGGATCACCCTGCTGGGGGGCCCCACGGTCGCCCTGGCCCGGCCCTGGGGGGACAGGAGCCCGCAGACCTGGGGGGTGCCCCAGAGAATGAAGGGGGGGGGGGTTCCCCTGAGAGCCCGGGGGGGGGGCTCCAGGCTAAAAGGGGCGGGGCGTGTCGGGGGCGTGGCTTAACGCTGGGGGGCGTGGCCTGACGCCAGGCGAGCGGCGGACAGTGCCAGGGAGTGGGCGTGGCCTGGTGAGGAGTGGGCGTGGCTTGACGGGGAGTGGGCGTGGCCCGGCGAAGGGGAGCGTGGCACGTTAGGGGAGGGGGCGTGGCGCGTTGGTGAGGGGGCGTGGCCCGGAGGGAAGGGAGCATGGCACCTTGGGGAGAGGGCGTGGCCTGGCGGGGAGGGGGCGTGGCGCGCTGGGGAGGGGGCGTGGCAGATCGGAGAGCGTCGTGT